AGAGTGTGTGTGTGTGTGTGTGTGTGTGTGTGAGAGAGAGAGAGAGAGAGAGAGAGAGAGAGAAATTAATTCTTTCAAATTAAAGAAGGCATGTAGACAAGACAACATCAGCAATGAAATGCTCAAAATCAGCAGCCCTTAGAGAGAGAGAGAGTGTGAGTGAGTGTGTGTGTGTGAGAGAGACAGTGTGTGTGTGAGAGAGAGAGAGTGTGTGTGTGTGTGTGTGTGCGTGAGAGTGTGTGTGTGAGAGTGTGCGCGTGTGCGCCGGTGTGAGTGTGTGTTTACTCTCCTTTCTCTCTGCAGGGAGTGATGATCAGTCCACTCAGCTGGTGTGTAGTTGGGAGACAGACAGTGTGTGTGAAGCGGCTCAGGACTGCTGTGTGGCTATTCGAGTGGACGCTGAGAGGTGAGACGCCAGCGATGCTGCCTCACAGTCTCATTGGTTTAGTTGCTTTAGGTGACTGATGTGTGCGTCTCTCTTGTTCCTGCAGTGAAGCGTGTGTCCAGTTCTCACAGATCTGTATCCTTTGCTGCTGTTCTGAGGACAGACGGATGGATTGTGATGTTTTGAAGCTGTAGGAGACACATAAATTATAAACACCGCCTGCGTTTGAAGCCACACACACTCATATCTATCTGTCTCATGTATACTGAATGACACGCTGTCCACTTTACATAAAACGGGTTTTTAATCTTTTAAATGCCACAGACCCCAGACATGATCGTCCTCATGAGCATCCTAACATATGAAAGGAGACCATATATTTTAATGCATAAATTCAAATTAAAATATAAGATATTTAGTAGAATGTGGGAAAGCACACAGTTGCTGGTCACTGACTTCTATACTCTGGAGGAGATACTCTGGCGGTCAGACGAGACCAGCAGCGGTGTGCTTTCCCACACTCTTCAGCATCTTTTCTTTTGTTGAACTGAAGAGAAGTTCATTCAGGTTTAGAACAACTCGAGGGAAAGTGAATGATGAACAGATTGTTCATTTATGGCTGAATTATCTCTTTAATAATTAAAATATAAAGTAATACTTGCGTCTTTACACACTAAAATATCTGTTACAGAATGTATAAAATATTATTTGGAAAATATTTCTTCTGTACAAAAAAAACATTTTCTACTCACTATGGCACTGTACAGTTAGATGTTTTATTTTTTTATTTATTTTATTTTTTTTAATTTTAAGCAACTTATTCATTTAATCAACTTCCTTGTTTATTTATTTTTTTAACACTTTTTCTGTAAACATTTCCCAAACCCGAGCTCTCCCTTGTGAAAGCCCCTGATATATAGAGAATAGGAAGTCTTCCATCGGTTCAAATGAAGCCTGGTTTCATTCATTCTGTCCTCATTGAATTCTAAACAGAATATTCTACTGTAGAGCGCTCTAGACACGACAGCTTTAGACTCAGCAGTTCTAGTCCAGCAGTACAGGTATTTGTTATATTGTTCCTGGTTTATTCTGCTAGCAGCACAGTCGGTCTGCTTCTTCAGACGGTTTACTGTAGATCAGATTGTGTCTTTGACTCTGAGCTGGTCCAGATCCGGTGGTGTGCGTCCCGTCCAGCTTCTTCATCGGAGAGAGCGGTGTTCCTCTGGAGGTGATCGCAGGCAGCGTGACGGAGGACGAGCTCCAGCACAGGATCAGCAGAGTCACGCAGGTGAACACACACACACGCACTCACACACACATACACACTCACTCACTCACACACACTCACACACACACACACACACACACATGCACACACACACTCTCTCTCACACACACTCACACATGCACACACGCACACAGACACACACGCACACTCGCGTATAATGAAATTAGGATAGCTTCCCCTCAGCATAATTTACACATGAACACATGAATCACACATTTAACCATTGCATACTTGCACAATAGAGAGTCGAGTTTCAACAAAAGCAAGTAAAGAATTATACAGCACATAAGTGTATATAGTCTCCCCAAGAAGAAGAAGAAGAAAAATAATAATTTATTAACATTCTAGGTAAAATTTATTATTTGTCAAACAAAAATATAATTTATTACTTTTTGTTTAGAGACACAATTCTGAATCTAGTAAACCTTGCTCTATAACTCTGTTAGAACACAGGCTTTGATCTGATTATGTGTAGTGTTTCATCGTGTGTGATAGATGTACAGCGGGTAAAATAAGTGTTGAACACGTCACCATTTTTGAACCTGTACCTGTACCTTTAGAAATCTATTTACTGAGAAAAATGGTGACGTGTTCAAAACTTATTTTACCCACTGGAGGTATATTATTAATCTTGAGACTTTATTTCCACTTGTGAACGGAACACTTCATCATGTTTTCTGGACAAACATTGTCTAAAATGTGGTTGTAACCAACTCAACACTTAGTTATTTTGCTGATAATAAACCCTTGGCACTCGGAGCAGTCACATCTTTCAGTGAATTTAAATCAAAGCTTAAAACACATTTGTTTTGTGTATTTGTCCCATTTGTATTCTTTTCTGTCTTTATTACTTAGTTTGTGCTATATATGCAGCTGCATTATTTGTGACTGGATTGAGCAATGGATTCTTGTATTTGTAAAGAATCCTTGAGCCTGGGAAAGGCACTATATAAATTAAACATATTATTATTCGTGTTTGCTAATGCTGTCACTCATTTTTTAAATGTATATAATATTTAGGTTTCTGATAAGATTTGCTAATATTCAGCTGGTGGATGTGAACTAGTTGAGGTTTGGCTGGTTTCACACTCACGCTAACGAGCTCTTGTGTCCAGATGCACACGCAGCAGATGAGCGCAGAGCGAGCCAATCAGACGCCCGTCTCAGAGCCGCAGTCTAAAGGTGAGCTCTGATTGGCTGCAGGACGGATTGCTCACATCTGTGCTTTCAGGAGACACTGATTTGCATGAAGTTTCAGTCTTGATGTGCTCTGCTGATTTAGTTTCAGGAGTCGTTAGCAGGTTAATGTGCAAGTGAGCGTGTGTGTGTCTTCTCTTCCCAGAATCCCTGTGTGTGCCGATGGAGGAAGACGGAGCGTCAGGTCACATGACTCCAGCTGAAGATGAGGCTCTGGATACCAAAGTGGACAGGTGAGCAAACACTGATGAACGTGAACCGACCAATCACAGCTCAGTGTGTTTACATGCCACTATGATATTCACTAGCAGTCAGAAGTGTTTGAACAGTAAGATTTATAATGTTTTTTAAAGAAGTCTCTTCTGCTCACTAAGCCTGCATTTATTTGATCCAAAATACAGCAAAAGCAGTAAAATTGTGAAATATTTTTACTATTTAAAATAACCGCTTTCTATTTGAATATATTTTAAAATGTAATTTATTCCTGTGATTTTAAAGCTGAATTTTTAGCGTTCAGCTAAAGAGAATTTAGACATTGTACTAAAACAAGACAAAACTGTTTTGCAGTGACTGAAGCTGGTAACTCCAGCAGCTTCTTCAGTGTTTGTGTGTAACGTGCATCAAGACAAGGCTTTATGTTTTAATTTAATTTGCTGTTATTTTCTATTCCCATGTAGGATCACAAAGAAGCTGGAGGAAAGACGTGAGCAGAAGAAGCAAGCAGAAGAAGAGGTAATTCTGATCATGTCCACTAGAGGATGACAGATAAGCGTGTGACAGATAACACGCATGACGTCTGTCTCACAGGTGCAGCTGAAGAAGGAGGTGGAGAGGCGTAAGACGGGGAAGGAGATGCTGGACTTCAAGAAGAAGCAGGAGGAGGAGAAAACCAAGCGTCTGCTGGAGGAGAGGAGTCGAGAGAAGGCCGAGGAGCGAGCGGCTAGAGAGCGGATCAAGCAGCAGATCGCTCTGGTATCAGCACACTGACAAAACAAATTACAATTTCCAATATTCGTCGAATTTAAAATAAATATCCACATTCGAATGCAAAAACACTGCATTCTAATTTTAGGTGTCTTCTTATCAGTGGCACACGAGATGCGATGATGATGTTGGTGTCGTTCAGTTGAACCCACTGGATGTGGCACTGCTACGTTGTTCATTCAAAATATTGCGGAAAAAGAGAATATCAATGCGGAGAAGATCTTGTTTACAGCAAAACTGAAACCAAGCCATTCACACAGAACGCAGATTTATCACCTTTGCACTCACGTGTCGCACAAGAGAGCCACATGTTTAGAAAGCCATGTAAAATTAATGTAAGTTCAACTTTTAAAAAACATGTCTCCGAGACTTTATGCTATTTTTCCCCCATCTCACTGCATCTCAGTTTTTAAATAGAAAAAGTACTCTTTGTGATTGGCTTTCGGTCCTTTGTATTGAACGATACATACATACATGATGCTGTTTTGTTTCTAATTGTTTAAGCAACTTAATTATATATGGTTTATAAACATTATTTTAAACATTATGCACTTTTTTCAAAGATAGCCGTGTTACTTTATTGCTTTGAAGAAACGTGCATTAGTAATATTTTGCTCGATGCGCCCTCTTGTGGCCTCAGGAGAGAAGCCAATAGCGTTTATCCCCCCTAACTGAAGTTATGCCTTTTAAATTCAAATGTAATTCGAATATTGATCATATTTTAGTACAAAATTTAGTTTTTTAGAGCATCAGTGCGGTTCGCTGTACGTCACGAGCTCAAGTGCTCTCAGAGAAACAGTCCCTAGCTGCTAAACATGTTCATGATTACAGCAGAAGATCTAGGGCCAGATTTACTAAAGACGTGCAGTGAAGAATTAGCGCGGAAAAGGCGTGGACAGTTATTTTTGCGCCTGATCTTATTGAATATGCATTTGTAGGAGTTTCCCTTTCAGACGCAAAATTTATGGGAGGAGAATATTAAAATGAATCACGCAACGCGATTTACTAACGTTTGTGCTCGTCAGATTACTGTTGTTTGTGCCATTATTTAATGCCAAAAAACCATGTGTTAAAGCAGGCGGTAATTTGCGCTGCTCTCGGTAGATTGCGCTGGTTATTTTGTACCCCCCCCCCCC